TGAGACGCACCAGAAGGTTCGGCTGCTAATTCACCTGAGTGTCCTGTTCGATGAAAAGTTTGATGTTATTACACAGGAGTGCTACACCACGCCGAGGGGCATGCGCTTGGAATTGTTTGACACGTGCCATACGTTCTTGTGTCTGTGGAACGAGATGCGTGTTTGCAAATACTGAAGACGCGCAGGATAAGGAGTTTCTTCGCGTAGCGATGAAAGCACATGTGTTGTTGCATCGCTGCTTGGATGGAGCAACATCAAAACATGTTGTGCTTCCGATGCGAAGATACATTGTCAAGGATGCGCAAACTCGCATTTTACTTGCGCCAAGCGGTGCAAATCTTGGCAGATCGGGAACAAGGCAATTGGCAGGCATTGCGTTGCCCTGGACACGCTGTTCAAATCATTGGACGCAGTTGCGGTGTAAGGAATTCAAGGTCTGCATATTATGTAATACGTACTATAACATGTATTCTAGCAAATAACCGACGGTATCACCTCACAACTAGCCTAACACATAACCGAACACATGACCTACGATCAAGCCTAACCCTTAACGCTGCCTTAATCTATATATATATAGCCTAATCTTTAAACTACCATATTTCCCAATAGTTAACCGAACTCGTTTAATCTAACCGATAGGCAAGATTGGACGAAGTAGTCTAGATTTGCCGATCGGCTAGTTTTCGTCTCGTGCAGTCTCAAGGGTTCCTCCTCCTCCTCCTGCCTCTCTCCTCCTCTTCCTCCTGCTCCTCTTCCTCCTCCTCCTCTCCCTCCCTCCCTCCCTCCTCCTCCTCTCCTCCTCCTCCTCCTCCCTCCCTCCCTCCCTCCCTCCCTCCCTCCCTCCCTCCCTCCTCCACCTCCTCCTCCTCCTCCTCCTCCTCTCCTCCTCCCCGTCCTCTCCTCCTCCTCCTCCTCCTCCTCCTCCTCCTCCTCCTCCTCCTCCTCCTCCTCCTCCTCCTCCTCCTCCTCCTCCTCCTCCTCCTCCTCCTCCTCCCCCTTTTCCTCTTCCCGCCTCGGCCGGGGGGCACCCGAGCTGGTTCCCGAAGAGGCCCCCCGTGCATCTGGATTCGTGGCCCCAGGTCACGCGCAGGCCATCGCGTTGGGCAGGCTTCTGTGTGAAGCCTGGCCCGGCGGCACTCCCGTCGCACACCGCGGGTATAGTCCGTTTGCTTGCCCTTTTGTTCTTTTTTCCCTGTCCTTTTCCCCTTGCTGCTCCATTCCCAGGAGTATCTGTGAAGCCTGGCCCCGCGGCACTCCTGTCGCACACCGCGGGGTATTGTCCGTTTCTTTGAACGCGGCGAGGCGAAGGCAATCCGCAGTAGGGAACGGCCAGCCATGGCAGCGGGAACCGCGGCAGCAGCCAGGGCCAGGTCCTGTCTGCTTGAACATGTAAAGTTTCTTGATTCCCCCTCTGCTCTCCCTTCCCCGTCCTTCCCTCTTACTGCTCCATGCCCAGGCGGGCTACGTCATGTGCATCATGCCCCAGGCGGCACTTGATCTGGATGTATGGAGTTTGTGTAATTCGCTGTTCGTGTTGCGGTGCGCGCCATGTGTGTATGCGCATGATGTATGCTTGTCGGACCCGCTTCGCAGTATGTGATTTCCTCAACATGTCTGTGGACGACGTGACACCTGGATGCTTGTGTGATCCAGATTTGTTCGACGTCTTTTCTATACGCCAGTGTGTTCTGGGTTTATCCCTGGTCTCGCCCCCACGCGCGTGCGGATCGCATCTGCCGCGCTGCGACGTAGAAAGTTTTGCATGAATCTGGACGGCGTGACGCCACACATGTTTGAATCGTGGTGCTGTGCGTCCCTGTTGTTTCCGTGCTCTGGGCCTGCCGAGGCGGGACGTTCGGGAGTTCTGGTTGGGACTGCCGGGGGCCTGGTGGTCGTGGCAATGGCAAGGCCGGCGGGCGAAACGGGAAACTTGAACCCCCAAGGGTCTTTTGTTTTGATACCCCATCCTCTTCCTCCTCCTTCTTCTCTTGCTCTTCCTCCTTCTCCTCCTCCTTCTGCTCCTCATTTCTTGGGGGTGACTTTGGATGCGGAAGGTTGGCCAACAGTATTAGAAGGGTGAGAGAAACCAAGCATCAGAACATGTCAAAGAAATACGTCGGTCCAGAAAAGCAAGCAGATCATAACATGTGACCTGCAAGCTGCAAAAGCGAGGAGGAGCACCTGCTGGACTTTATGGATTCAGGTACATGGAGTCTACGGACAACAGCTGAAGATGGTCAGGGGACGACTCGCCCAATCATGTTCGAATGGCAACCGAGGCAGGTCTTACGATGGTGTTGGATTTGAAGATGCCCAAAGTTGACCCGGCTATTGCATTAATTTCGCAGGGTGCTGATCGATGGTTGAAGGAATGGAGAGATCATCCACGTATTCGGAATGGAATATGGAAATTATGGCCCAAAGTTGAGCAGCACATGCACGTCACGAAGTTCCAAGACCAGCCGCGACAAGTCAAGGGACCTATTTCAGCAGTGGACACCGACACCACCGTCAGCATCGAGTTACCCCACGGGCGACAACACGTACGAATAATGGGCATTCCCAGATGAAAATTGTACAGGCGACCCGCACATCGATCAACATCAGCACCTGCTCAAGGATTTGGAGATTGCTGCACGCATGCAGGGCTGACGCCAGGCAGGATCCAAATATGCATGAGGTGGATTTGAAAATGGGGTGGCTAACGGTTCGTGTCGTGCGTTGCTTCGCCAACCCGCCGCCTCCCCCAATGGACAAATATTGGCCGAGATGGTGACGAAGATTGCCGTTGCTGGATGTTGGCCGAAGACTCGGACACAGGATATGATCAAACGCTTGACGGGTGGCAAGGTGTGCCACTAGTGCCGTGAGAAACCTGAAATTTTGTTCATAGGCATTGGGGGTTGCAGCAAGAATGCAGGACCCAACGCGTACGAATATTCGGATGATTTTTTTCAGGCCACCACCCAACTTGAAATGGCTGAGGCTGTCTGGCTCAGGGGGCTTACTTCCCAGCCCAGGACTAGAGAGTCCCTTGGCCTGTAGGTGTCCTTTCCTGGACTGCGACGGGCGTGAGTGAGGTTGGATTCAGGTGCTCCGGCTGCGGTTGACGCGAGTGTCCTCTCCTGAGTTCTGGTGGTGCTTCGGGTGGTCCTGGCTCGAGGTGGCCCAGGGTGCGACGCGTGGCTCTGGCTATTGGTACGTTATCATCTCTCTCCCCGCTCGTCCTCGCGTCCTCGATTCTTGGCTCTCTCAGCGGCCGCAGGCAAAGTGTTGCGATTACGGGAGTAGCGTGCCTTCTATCTCGCCCTGTATGTCCCGTGGGCATATGCTGTATCTATATATATATATATATAACCGAGTTTGAACCCTTGGCCGAGAGCTGGCATGCCCAGGCCTACTTGACCCCAAAGGGTCCCAATGCTCACTTCGGGGCAATGGTTGCCAATGACAGAGCCCGCAGCCAAGTAGCTGTTTTGTTTCTTGGAAGTCAGCAGGAGGGGAGTGACACTGTCGATGGCCGCTCTCTAAGTAGTTTGGTGTTAGCAAACACTGTTGCTGATGAGTCGGCTGATTGCGCTGCGAACACGCGTGGAATTCCCGAGGCCCCTTGACGCCAAGTGGATCTTGCGGAGAGTAAAGCCATGCGTGTCAGATCAGGCTCTTGAGAGACGCTCGATTCTGCGGCTCAGAAGGCTGCTGCTTTGGGGGCGATGGGGTTGGAAAAGGGAGGGGGGCCCTCCCCCCCCTATCCCCGCCCCGCCGCCGCTGCGCTCGCCCATCTCACGTCTGCTCCTAGGCTCTCGGGGGTGCAAGACCAAATATCTGAAGTGCTTCGGCTCGGCTGCTCTCGCTGCGGCCGCCGCGCGGTGGAAGGTTGCCAGTCCTGACGTTGCCCACGTCGATGGCGCCGCCGGCTCTTTGGCGGGCGGTGGTGCCAGAAACCGTGCAGCAGGAGGCTGGCTGCGCCCATCGCACTTCCTCAATTGCCACACCCACTGGAAGGCTTGGTTTTGTGGGCACTGCGGAGGGGCCGCAGATGGGCAGCTCCGGCCCCTCGCCAAGGCCTGCGCGCCCCCCGCGCGCGCGGGGGGCGCGAGCTTGTGGATCGCATGCAGGAGGAGGGGGAGGAGGAGGAGGAGGAGGAGGAGGAGGAGGAGGAGGAGGAGGAGGAGGAGGAGGAGGAGGAGGAGGAGGAGGAAGGATGAGGAGGAGGATGCTGGCCCTGATCTCCTCTTCAGTTTCTGTCCTGAGCAAGACCGACCGCGCAGGGCGGCGGCGAGGGTCTTCTCTTCCACGCTTTCGATTCGGCACTGGCTGCGCCACAGGCTCATGCTCATACTCGTGCTCCTCCTCCTCCTCCTCCTCCTCCTCCTATTCCCCTTCCTCATCTGGGGGCGCGCTTGAGTGGGCAGCCTCTCGAGGTGGGGCCATCCCGGGCGCCGTGCTCGGGCGGGCACTTACCGTTCTGCCGCCGTGCCTTTCTGTCCCAATGACCTGGCCGCCGCGGGCCCGGTGGTCGGCGCCGGGCTCGAGTCGCCGAGAATCGCTTTGGCTGTAGTCACGCGCCGGGTCAAGGCCGCGGGCGAAACGTTCGGCGCGCAGATTGCTGAAGTCAAGCTAGAACAAGCGGTTGCGAAGGCCGACTTGGACCAGGCAAAGAGCTTATATCGGAGTAGCGCTGGCGGCGCGCCGACGCCGGACACGTCGACTCCGCCGCTGGGCGATTGTGGGCCTGAGCCAGCCATCCCGAAGAAATTGACCGTCCCCGGGCTGGGCGCCAAGATGATTGCCATGGAGAATGCGATCAAGACCAGCCTCGCCTCCTCGCGTGCCTCCTCTTCGCCGTCGATTTCTTTGGATGCGGGGGTCTCCGTCGGCGTTGGGTCCAGAGCCAAGCGGGCCCACGTCTGGGAAGCTGTTCGCGGCGCTGCCCGCGCAGTTGGATCGACGAGCCCGCGCGGCGGGGGCGGCGATGCGAGCGACAGGTGCTGGTTATGTTCCAGGGGCTTTCCGCGCATGCTGCGAGGGCATTCCAGTCCCAGTTCCTGCGTTCCCACTTGGGGCTCGCGCGCAGTGTCAGAGCTGCGCGCTCTGATGCAAAAGATCAAGTTTGCGCACGGGGGCGCCGCTCGTGCCCGTTCGCTCGAAGCAAGGACATCGTCTCCAGCCTGATCCTGCCGTGGAGCGACCCGAAGATGGGGGGCGACGTTCAGACGCGATCCGGCGTCGGCCAACCACTCCACGCCCGCCGCAAGTCACGCGCTCTGGGCCAATGTTGGGGGTCTATGCGCGCCGCGTTGCTCCGGCACCAGGCGCGGAAGGATTCCCCCCCGCTGGAAGCCAGCCCTCGAGCCTGGCCCTTGCACCTAGCTTGCAGCGGCAGCGAGGGCATTTTCGACCTCAGGAGGCTCGTTCCTGGCGGCGAAAAGGGCGGCGGACGCGAAGCCTGCGCGAGCGCCGCGCTGGATGACGCGAAGAGCATGGGTCTCGCGATCGAGGTTGCCAACTCCTTGCCCGAGCGGATCCACAGCAAGCTGCGCTCCGAGCGCGGTTGACATCTAAAACATGCTGCACTGGAGTGGCAACGGGCAGCCCGCGGCTATTTTGCTGCGTCTAATCCGGGGGCTTCGGCGTCCATCTTGTCGGCTTCGGTGCTGGCTCCTTCGACGGATCCGACGACCTTATTCCGCGTCTCCCCTTCCGTCTGCGTCTACTTCTACTGGAAGCAGGAATGCTGGTCCTCCTGGGAATGAAGTCGTTGGGCCTGCGCCCGGCATTCACTGGGGGGCGAACCATTTCGCGTGCGTTCGTCTGACCCCATGTATGGCCTTGGAGGGCTTCTGGTAATTAAAGTTGGGAACCGAATGCTCTCTGCGGAAGCGCGCGGGGTGATCGTGCCCGTCAGCGCAGGAAGGGCGCGCGCGCCCGTCGTCTTCCCGCAGCCCTCGATTGTTCTTTCGGAGGAATCTCATGTGGCCATGGCCGACCTCAGCTCTTTAGGCAGGCAGTGGTCCAGCTTTCTTCATGCAGGGTCCGTTTGTTTTGATCACCGTGCTGGGGCGTAAGTGGCGTTGCCAGGTTCGTTCTCGGATCCTGATTCTACCCGCGCGGATGTCGCGCGTGCAGAGCGGCGCGTTGTCCTGCATACGAGCGGCTCTGGCTAGGCCTTCTCTTCCACGGAGAATCCATCTTGAACCCGACTAAGGTCTTCCTGAATCCAGGTTTGTTTTGCATGAGGTATTCTGGTTTCTTCTCCAGCAGCATCGCACCCTCGGTATCGCAGTTGGTGGCTGGACCATCCGCGAGCAGGGCGGGGCTCGTCGCGGTGTCGAGGGGGGCCGAAGGATAGAAGATGACTCTGCCTCGCTCGGAAGGCTCGCCGCTGTCTTCAAGCATCATGGTGAGATTGAGCAGATGGAGACGACGCCTCGCGCAGCGCGGATTGGCGATGACACCCTTCAGTTTCAGCCCCTCGCTTGGCTCGGCCGTCTGCATGCGAATGCGCCAACTGGCAGAGTTCTCGGCTGGCGCGCGCGCGCTGGAGCGAACGGGCGCGCCCGCAATGTGCGTTCCCGTCGGATCGCGCGCCCGCGTTTGTTCATTTAGCCCACAGTGCGTCTCGCGCGCCCCCGGTTCCGCGAAGGCGTGCCCGACGCCGTGGCCTTCTGGCATTGCAGGGCGCGCGTTGGGGCTGCCCCCGACCTCGGCCAGGCCGCGGGCGGCGCCGAGGCCATGGTGCATGCTGCGGCTGGGATTGTTATATATATATATATATATATATATATATACATATATATATATATATATATAATATATATATATATATTGAAACACGCTCGTTCAATCTCTGACCCCATGTATCTTCCCAGGGTGTTGCAGCGCGCCTGAACTTCACGCGCGCGGCTCCCGGTGGTCGAAGAGACACCGCGGGGCAGCGCGCGGACGCGATGCCTTTTTCTGAGGGAATTCCATGACTTGGAGCAAGTGGTGTTCGTCAACTGCGACAGGACCCAGGGCCCCCCCGGGTCTCGGCGCCGCCCCAGAGCGGCGATTGCGTGGGCCTCGCCGCGCCCGAACAATTCTAGTGAGCGCGGGGGGGGGGGGATGGCGCTGTGGGCCCAGATCTCGTGCCCGCCGACGCGCTTGATGACGCGGCCGCTGTCATGCCCGACGATTTGCGCCAGACGACTTGCTCGGCGATTCGCGCGCCAGCCGCTCCCGGGGAGAAGGCGGGGGTCCTCGCTGTAAGACATGGACGAGGGCAGCGGGTGACAACCTGGTCGGCAGACGCGTCGCCTGCCCTGACATTGCGAACTCGACTGATATAGAAGCTCCCATGTTTACCCATTTGATTAACGTTTGGTCTCCCAGCCGCCGAAGATTAATCAAGTTTGCTGGTGGCTGTAGTTGTAGCGACCCCGATCTCAAGTGAACACTCTGCCGCGAACCTCGCCAGCAATTGGGGGCCCGCGCACGGCCGCGCCCCCGCGCGCGGTGCGCTGCGCGCCCGTGTTCTGGAAGAGCTTCAGCGGCATCTCCCCCATTTTGCTCCTGATTTTGGGACCTGCGCGGGCGTTGCGGCTGCAAGGCGTGGCTCCGCCCCTGGTCCCGGCGGGGCTCCCTATTGGGCATGGAAGTTAGCCAGTGGTTGGGTTCGTCAGTTCCTGCATTGCGATTGCGATGTTCTCTTGGGTTACCAGGATTTCTGCCGGTTCTGGCCGCGGCAGAGCTGTCATCTCACCCAGCGCGGAGGCCAATGACAGAGAGGGCGCCATCTTTGATCTCGAGCGAACTAGGGCACCTACAATGCGCAGCACCAGCAATCATATTTCCGCACCTTGCATTGGCGCGCCTTCGTTACAGCAAGCGCAGCAGGGGGCTTTGAGGTCTGCTCGGGGGCTCATCCGTGGGCGGCGCGTTCTGGGCGATATCGTCGGCCTCGACTCCTGGATCCTGGGGTGGCGCGTTTGGCGCGGATACGCTTATTATGGGGCCCTTTACCTGGGCATGGCTTTCCCTTCCCTCAACCATGGGTCGATCTTCTGGGTGCCCGAGGGGGCGGGTTTCACGTTCACCTCGCGCCAGCAGTTGTGTTTCTGCGTCCCGATCTCGACGCGGATCTCTCGTTCCGTGGAATGAAACTCCCAGGCTTGTCCATGTGGAGATGCGCAAAGCACGGGTGCCCTCTCAAAGGTATTATTTGCATCCTAGTAAGTTACCCTGTCGCGCGTGCGCTTGACCAGCGGATTGCCTTACAGACTGCCCGCCAGTTCTCTTTTGCCGATGACGTTTCTCTGCGCCGTTAGCGACCCGCGCCTCTCGTTGCTTGGCATTGTTACGCGGGTGGTGCAGAGTGGCGTCGTCGCCGAGCTTTGTCTGAACCTCGACAAGCGTGTTGCTGTTATTCCTGGACCCCGGGACCCTTCGGAAGCCGCGCATACTTTTCGGCCCATGGGGCCGAACGATCGAAAATTCAAGTTCCTCCCTTGCGGCAAGTATATGGGTGCGCCGCTGCGCCCTGGAGGGTGCGATGGGAACCGGGAAGCCCACTGCGCCAAGCTGTTTGATCGTACATTTCGCTTTCGCTCGCTCCATCTCTCGCTCATGCGCAACCTTCATGCCTATGCAGTCTTTTGTATTCCTGCCCTCTCTCGCGCCTGGCAAGTTTACCCTGTCACCGAGCACGATGGCCCCCAAGCAGGCTGCATAGCAGCGGCTCGCCTACGCGCCGCGCCGTGCTATCCCCAGCCCAGCTCCATTCTATGAGGCGTTTGGAATAGTTGAGTGGCGGCTCAGCCTCGGGATTTGGTTTGTTCTGCTCGCGGTGCCACGTTTGGCCTCGCCTCGGGGTCCAGGGAACTCGGTGATGCAATGCCGCTCTCCTGACCCGTGTACGATGGAGTGTCCGACGCCCATGTCCTCTCTGCCCCCCCGATTCCGTACTTGGTGGGAACAGTCGATCACGCGCAATTTGATGCAATGCTGGACGGAAATATACACCGATCGCACCAACGGTTGGGGGCCCTGGCGCTATTTGGGCTGCACAAAGGACATACAAGTTCCTTCAGTTGATGCGTCCTCACCTTTCCCTTGGTCCTGATCTTCTGAGGCGCGCGAGGTATTCGTGGCCTGAGGCATCCGCCCATGTCGGCGATCGCGTACTGATGAATTTGTTGATCGCAAGCTGTAAGTTTGTCTCCGGTAGCGGGAGCGCCTATATCCGTTTTCTTTGCAATTCTTGGCCCGCCACCTGCAGGTTCCGACAGGGAACTGATTTTTGCAGGTTCGGATGCTGTGCGGCCGGGGGGGATGATGTGGTTCACAAATTGTTTTGTCCGTCCATGTTCCTTCTGCTGTCTTCTCTTGGCCTTGCCCTGCCGTCTTGGTTTCTCGCCTTGCCCCCACTGCAACGAATGATCGCGCGCGGAATTCCCGAGAGTGTGCCAGAATGTCGGTTGGTCGTTCGAATAACACATAGCTTCAAATTCTCGACATACAAATCCATGCGGGCTGGTGGGAAGTACGGACCCAAAAGGGCGCTGCCTTCCCCCTAGCCCGCAATCGAATGCTGGCACGAAGGCGCGTTGAGATACGTGCCTTTCTCACCCGAGGCGTCCAGCGAAACGCATACCCATGGGAAGGTGAGCGTTCCTCCTCTTCTTCCTTTTCCTCTTCAAATCGGCGGTGAATGCAGCATGTCCCTCCTCCTCCTCCTCTTCCTGCTCCTACTCCTCCTCCTGTTCCTTCTCCTCCTTCTCTCCCCTCTCTTCCTCCTTTGTTTCGTAACTTTGGGTCTACTCGGGCATGGCGGCAGCGATGCGTGGGGGGGCTGTTGGGCGAGAGGCGCGTGCTTGCCTTTCCGGTGCGGTCGCTCGGCATCGTTCGGACGTGAGCTTCAAGTTTCAAGCTTCATCCCCATCCCTGGGTGCGCAGGCCCATCGTAGTTCTATAGTGCCCCTCCTAGCTGCCCGGGTTCGCTCAGGCATGGCGGCTTTCAACGAGATCGGCGACAAGGTTGGCAACACCATCCGCAACATCTTCGCTTTCGACACGTCCCCGGCACACAAGAGGAGTGGCCAGGGCCAGGCTGCCGCGGCTAGCGGCGGCGACGGTTCGCAGAAGCGGCCCTCTTCGCCTTCAGGTGCACCTCCATTTTCCCAGCAGCAGCTTCAGTGGCTGGGGGGGGCTGTGGCTGAGTCCCAGCGGGTCACCATGGAGATCTTCGGAGCCAAGGTCGACGAGCGCCTGACTGCCGTGGAGGCCTCGGCGACGGATACGTCCGTGAAGGTGGGCGCCCACGAGGGCCAGCCTGGAGACCATCAACGTTGACACCGAGAAGCGCCTCAAGGCGGCGGAGGAGGCAGCGAAGGCGGCCAATGCGGCCGCGCAGGAGCTCGAGGAGAAGATGAAGAGCTCTTCGGCATCTTCGGCAAGCCATGGTCCAGGGCAGCGTGTGCCCTACGAGAAGCGGGTCATCGCGAAGATCGGCAACCTGGGTTGGAACGACAAGCCGGACGTCATCCTAGCACGCGCCCGGGAGGTCCTCCGGCGGCAGGGATCCCGGACACGGACTTTAGCGGTTTGTCTGCGCCCAGGCGTGAAGGCTCGCAGGCTGAGTTGTGCTTCAAGTCCCCAGAGGTCCTCCAGAAGGCGAGGCTCCACGTGCGTGCTTTGAGGAAGTCTTTCGAAACTCCGAACGGGGAGACTCTGGTTGGATGTGCTCAAGGACCGCGCAGAGTTCCGGCCCGCGCGGATCGTGCACAGGGCGTTCGACATGATCGAAGAGATGGAGGCCAAGATGGAGCCGCCGCTGAAGCTCGAGAAGCGCTTCGACGGCAAGTATATCAAGGCAGAGGGTAACAAGAGGATCGGCTTCGTAGCGGGGGGTCAATGGCACTGGTCTCCATGGGCGCGCGCCCGCTATCCTTCGGACGAGCTTGATGAGGCGAAGCAGTACGCGGACGAGGAGTGACTAGACGTCACTCGTACGAGGCTGAAGGTCGCGGCAGTCAACTGCGGCAGGGCTTGTGCAGCGTGGGCTGACCGGCAGGCTCTGGTGGGTGCGGTGGCTGACGTGCTCCCTCAGTGGTCCGTCATCTTCCTGTCGGAGGTCGACGGGTACAGGTCTCACCGCCAAGCAGCGCCTGGCAGCTCCTTGTTGCATTATCGTCATTGGCCTGGCGAGGGGAGCTGGGCCATGGAATTCATCGTTAGAGCCAGTCTGAAGCACCTGATTCGTGAGGTTCGCTGGTCTGGCAGGTGTGGCGCTCTTCATTTATTTCAGCGTAGAGGCCACATCAATGATTTCATCAACGTGTTCTTGGTGGGTGTACATATTTCGCACGGCGAGTCCCAGAAGGATGTTCTCGCCGATATCAGTTGTCTTTTAAGGGGGCGGCCATGGGGCAGTACTGTCGTCATGATTGGCGATTGGAATGCCGATCAGCTGCCCGACCTAGCGGGAGATCCTTTCGCAGGCCTCCCGGCCCGAGATGATCACCATGCTGCTGAACGAGACCGTTTGCAGTCTTTGGTGGACCGGTTCGCGATGCAGATCGAGCTGCCGCAGGAGGTGGTTTCGGTGCCCGGCGGCCCGTTCGCGGAGCAGTGCATTCTATCGCCGATCACCCGGATACCAGTCGGAGATCAAGTTTTGACTACTATCCCGAGCTGCCTCGATTATGCGATCGCCCAGCCCGGGGCAATCACGAAGTCGATCGTGTGCTGGAGAGGGGCCCCAGCAGACCACGCCATAGTCACTTTTGAGCTCGCTTGCCGAGGGGCGCTCCAGCGTGGGCACAAGTCGTCTTGGAAGTGCTTGGACGAGGAGGCGTGCTTGCAGTGGTTGCATTCCGAGGCCCCAGGCGATTTCGGCAGCATAGATACTTTCCACAAGTTTCTCCACGAGGTGCAGGGCAGGTGGCAGGACACGGACACCTGCCGGCAGCGGCGTCACGCGCGTCTTCCTTTCCATATTCGTTGCTTGCACTCGCAGCTCGCGGGCTCACGGGACGAGCATGGACGGCGGGCGCTGCAGAGGGAGGCATGGCAGCACCGAAAAGCTTGGTGCAGCGCATGGCGCAGGCGAGATCTTGCAGAATCTGTTGGCCGAGGGAAGGTTTTCCAGAAGGCCAAAAAGCTGCACCGACTGAAAGAGGTCGTACTTCCAGCTCCTGCTGGCCAGCAGCGCGCGCGCACTTCTGACCCGGCCACGTGGGGGGAATCGCTCGGCAGCCACTTCTCCGTCAAATGGGGCGCGAAGAAGTTCCAGCACAGAGTCAATTTGCTCGACGCCATCCTGCCATTCGAAGGCTCCGCGGCGCCCATCTCCGAGGAGCAACTCAGGAAGGCGTTGTCGAAGATCCGGCGGAAGTGTAAGTTGGACCATTATGGCGTTTCCGTTGCTGCGATTCTGATGGTTTTCCGGGTCCGGCCTGAAGCAGTCACCCGCCTGCTCTCCACGTCGTTGGGCAGCGCGCCGGCCATGGCGCAGCTCGAGGTGAAAGGGCTGGTGCTGGGAAGGTGTCGGCGATCGCCAAGGTGGAGGAGACCCGCGCCGTGCTCCCGCTACCGGCAGTCATGCAGGTCATGGACTCGGTTTTGCTCCTGGCCTGCCAGGGCTGGGTCGACGCGGCGCTGCCGGAGGTGCCCGAGTGCTTTGTCGGGGCTCGCCCGCGCACCCAATGTCCAGACATTGCCCACGGTTTGCAGTCCGTGAACGAGAAGGGCATCGACAACTTCGGCCGGGCTGCGATCGCCCAGGCCGACATCGAGAGGTACTATGACTCGCTCCCGTCCCTCCGCATCGCCCGGTGGCTTGGGGCCCACGGCGTGCCTGTGGAGATGGCTGCTTGTCTCCTCCGCCACCAAATGCTGCCCAAGGTGACGCTGTGCGCCGGGGCAGCGGAAGCTATCGTGACAGGTCCGTGCGAGGGATGTCTGACCGGGAACCGCGTGGCAGGGTTATTTGGGCGCATTCCGGTCGAGTCCACTATGGCCGAGCGGCGTCTGGTGTGGCGCGCAAAGGGCTTCCAGGCAGATGACCACGTGTTGTGCGTCTGCTCCTACGTGGACAACCTCTTCAGTGCTTCCGGGAGCCTGCATGGGGCGATCAGCATCCTTGATGATATCGAAGCGCAGCTGGAGCGGAATTGGGGCCTCCACATTAAGCCCTCCTCCCGGTCCTGCATGGCCGCTGCTGGGACAGGCCCGGGTGAGTTACCCTCGAAGTGGCCGCGGGTCCACGAGTTCACCGCCCTGGGCCACACGCTGCAGGACACTGGGTCCATCCGGGCATGCTGGCAGAACGCCCGCGCTGCCATGTGGCGAGGTTTCTGGGCCAACCCGGGGTCCAAAGCCGCGCGCGGGCTTACGATGCGTCAGCACTTTAAGGGTAGCTCTTTGGGAGATGTTATAGCATCGGGGGTATAGCTCGCGCGCCGTTGCCTTTGGCTCAAGGCACGCGCGCCCTATTTGCCCGGACACTGCTTGTGTTCGCTATGTGCTGGAAAGATCATTACATCGATCTTATCCTATCTTATCCGTCCATTCCTCTTACTGAACCACCTCAGTACGATACCGGACGCTATTTGCCATCCGCTTCCCATGGAATCGGATGCTATTTGAGTTACCAGGCTCACTTTCGACTTGGTGGCGGAGCTGGCCGCACTCTCGTGTGGTCAGCTCTTGCTCTTCTCATCTTCATACTCTTCGGCACGATCCTCGTGACCACCTACCACCCTGCGCTATCACTCCCAGTACGTTTACGAGGATCTACCCAAGAGCAAGAAGCAACGCGAGAGGTACGACGTCTAGACAACAACTTTGGTACCATATACGCTTCATCACTGCGCTACTACCAACCGCTCGGCAACGAGCCGAAAGCGCAATACTTGAAGCATGGGCGGAGAGATCCGCCAGATAGAGCGCCTTGAAGACTCAACAAGGCGCTACCCCAGCGCGGCAACGCGCCTAATAACCACCCCTATCTACACAGCCTTGGGCTGGTTATATTCGCTATCATATGGTTCGCGCTGGGGGCAGCAATCGGACGCATGCGCCGCGGAGAAAACAGCACCGATGGGCAAACACATGGCCCATACTGGGGCCCTCAAGGCAACGTACCTTTTCGTGAGTACGTTCATGAGGTCAACGCATGGCTCAACGTCACTAGCGGACGTATGACGCCACAGGCCCAAGCGGCCGCCATGCAACGCGGCCTAGGTGGCCTAGCGAGGACACTCGCCATGAGGGCACCGCCTGACATTATAAACTATGGTGCTGACATCGATGGGGTCCACACAGACCCAGTGACCTACATCATGTTCCTCCTAAGCATGAAGTTCGAGCGCCTGGAAGATGAGCGCCAGCTCACTTCCGGCACACAGCTCATCGACTTCCATGTGCCTCACGGAGAACGAATCGACGTCACTCTAACCCGATTCGAAATGGCCCGACTTGAGGCACAGTCGGTGGGATTCGACCTTCCCAACTTCCAGTTACTAACCGCGATCCTGTTCCGCGCCTTAGGCGTCGGCAACCAGCGAGCCATGCAACTCTTACAGCCACTCAATCATCGAATGCCCCGAACTCAACAACAGTATGATGAGCTGCTGGAGAGGATGCGCCCGATAGGCCACCTAGCAGAACGGTCTCCTGGTAATATAGGATCTGTGTTTGGAAGGGGAAGGGGATCTGGTAGTGGAAACTTCTACACTACCTTAACCACTGAAGCCCAGCCTGGAAACGGGCCCTCAAGCATATGGGCCGATGATCCCGGAGAATCTACTGCTTTATTAGCAGGGGATCGACCACAACCAAGCTGGGCAACCAGCCCTCCTTCCAGAGAACCTCAACCACACCGTTCTCTGTGGGGTGAATCAAACCCCCTTACCGACGGTGTGTCCACCTACTTGGGAGACGATGATTTCGACTCCGGCACCGACGCTGATACTGCATCATCCGACGGTGTTGAAGCTTTAGACTGGTCAGATATTATGAATATGGAAACTGACATCAGCGGGCTGAACACCTATTTTGGTTATTACAACAAGCTAAACGGAGGTGGAGGAGGTTCACACGAAAACCAGTGCGACGTGTTAGGGGGGGGGGATACGGAGGAGCTTCAAAGGAAAAGGTAGAGGCAAGCGGGGTCGTCGGAGGTTGAACGGACGAGGCATCGTGGCATTCCTCCAGAGGCTCTCAGATGAACAGTATGATGAGATATTCTTCGGGGGAAAGGGCCGTGGCAAAGGCCGTAGAGAGACCTCGGGAAAAGGCAAAGGTAGGCGGGGAAACCCGCGAGGTAGAGACGGCCAGGTTCTAAAGTGCCATGAGTGTGATAGCACCGACCATCTTGTGAGAGACTGTCCAGCGAAGGGAAATGGAAAGGGCAGATCGACCGAAGTCCATTTTGGCTCAAGTGAACCATTCATCGAATATCTGAGCCTTCAGGATTTTGAGGCCATAGAACAGATATTTTACACTTGGGTCAGTTGCATGGACAACGTCGACGAGCTCGAGGCGCATGGTCATGGATTGTACGCGTACTACCTCGAGTACGTCCGCAGGTTCGTTGTTGGCAACAACGAGCTCACTCCCGTGGATCACGGTACGCTGGGAAACCAGACTTTGTCTTTCTTCGATTGGATGTTCGGGAACCCAGGCAACATCATGGCCTACGAAAGCAGTGACGAGGACATCACTGTTGAGGCCTCGCCTTCCGAGGTTGACCGCAACCTCCAACCTCCACCTGGACTCCCGCCTGGAAACAGGCCTATCTATCCCCGAAATAATGATGAACTTATAGAAATGGAGTCTCAAGCGTTCGTTCAAGCTTTCATTGCAGGCGCACCAGAGGTCACATTTGTACCCCCTGGTTCGCTTGCTCCAGGCGAGTACGGACCACGCACACTATTGCAAACCCTCATGAGGATGCACGAGGTATTGACCATCGCATAACCCGAGAGTCAAGAAAGCATCGAAGCTGGCATCATGATGCTGCAGGACACTGACGCCTGTGGCGACTCGGAGCTAGTGTTGGCAGCCTTGACCCTCGTCGACAGCGTGCGCCCTGAGGACGTGCAGAGGCATGTGTTGTACTCCCGAGGGAGATTGCGCGATGCCCTTGACAGGGCCATCGCCATGCGCGGCCAGGCTCTTCCTCCGCCAGGATGGGGTCTCCAGGCGGCGGGACTATGGCCAAATAACACGGCCATGCGCAACATTGCTGGGCAGCCTGTGCTCGGCAACGAGCCTGAGCCGACAACCGTGCCGCCTACCCCGGGACAGCCGAGCGACGCACAGATGCCGGCAACGCAGGGAAACCTGCCTGTCCCGGCTGCGCCAATGGCCATCATCATTGGTAGTTCTACATCAGAAGAAGAAGAGGGCGATGGTTGCGGGCTAGGCGAGGATGAAGCCACAATTCTCATGATGGAAGTTAACGGCGAGGTAGAGGTGGACTTTGATCCTGACGAGCCTGAAGCACCATCACCATCGGCACAAGCGCCATTTGCGCCGAGCTCCAGCCAGCAGGGAAACCCGCCTTTACTAGCCGATCCACCTGGGATCGCACAGGAGCCTCCGCCGGCGCCTCCGCCGGCTTCTACTCAGGCTGCTTCGGCAGCCTCTTCTGATGAGAATGCTGGAAGGTCTCGTTCCCATCCGCGCGTCAGAGGAGAGCCACAACCTCAGGCTCGGCTTCCCCGTGAGTGGAGGCAAGCTGGCCCAGATGAACACGCTCTCAGGCGAGGAGGCGAACTACTGCCGTACAATGATCCAAGACGCCGTAAAGGGGAACATTCGGCCTTCGGCAAGGGCAACCCTGCCTATAGGGACGCCCAGGGTAAGGCCATCCGCGGAGGCTATCAAATGGCAACAAAAATCCGCCGCCCTGAAATTGAAGAAGTGCGGACACAGCTGCGAAACGTTATCGCGGCTCGCAAGTTGTATAGGCCTCAAGCAGCGCGTGGACCATGTTCCGAGCCGTTCCAGAACCACAGGCCGGGATGCCCTGTAGGAAACAATGAAGGTCTGAGCCCAAACAGGGGCAAAACTCCTCATAAGGAGGGCGTCCATCCGCCACTGATCCCGACGACACAGGACGAGATCGCAGAGGTCAATCGTCGTCTCGGGATCATGGGCCACTTGGAGCCGAAAGATGAAGAGGATAAGCCTCCTCCGGTTCCAAGGGGAGGACTGGTGCCCATGACCCAGGAAGAAAAAGACGCGCTCTTTAATCTTCCTGGAATGCGAGGAAACTCGCCCGGCGTTTCCAACCAGTCCCAACAACCAGAATCGACATCTAAGGATGAACAGAAGGCCCAGCGAGTTGCGGCGGATGAGGAACGTATGCGGATAGCAGAAGAACGCGCATGCGAGGCAACTCGCCAAATGCTGTTGGACTCCAAAAAGATTTACATGAAGGGGGCTAAGAAACCCCCGCTCTCACTACAATCGAAGGCTAAGAGTGAAACTCCAGCACCGAAGTCGTCTTCGGATGTGAGACCGAAAGCGCGCTCTGAGGATCCTGGGCCAGATGTGCAGATGGAGGCGCCTCGTTCTGAAACTCCGAGATCGCCGATTGGCGCAACTCCAGCACAAGTATCTGAGCCCAAGCAGCAACCTCAGGACCCTGTGGAGGAACGGAGACGCCCGCCTAGTCGTAGCAGTTCCATTGCCAAGAAGGCGGCGGCTTTCGAGCGCACAGGGTATGCCCCTGCGCCAGCTTCGCCTGTGGCGGCCCGTTCCAAAAGGTCCGACGAAGGTGCTATGTCTAGGGGTAACTGGGTGCCGACGATTAGGGGCAGCGCCAGTCGCGGATCGCCGTGGGGAAACCCGCCAGGCGCTGCTGCTGCAGCTTCCTCCTCGTCAGGAGCCGCAGCCTCTTCAGCGACAGAGGCTCCTGTGCGGGGAAACCCGCCCGTGGATCAGCTGCACCACCCAGGAGAGACGTCCTTCACCAGTGGGACTCCGAGTGTGATCAGGGATAGACTTGCTCTGCGGAAGCTCCCACCGATACGCTCGGTGGATGAGGAATTCATGCGAAAATGCAGGCAAGACAACATTATCCCGATATCCAATCACACCCTCAAACAATTGAGCAAAGCTCTCAGTAGGATATGTAGACATGCGCCGGACAGAGCTCATGATCCTGTGTGGGATTTGGCTACATTCGATGATCATGATGGCTGGATTAACTTCGTAGAGCTCGTGAATAAGTATCCATGGAAAACCGGGCGATCGAAGCATGATGGGTACAATCCCAGACATGACGAGGCCAAGGTCATCACCGCGAACCTATATGGTCGATCGGTGGACCAACTGGCGGCCATCATGATGGAAGTGGTTCATGT